CCGCTTAGATTCACGACTTGGTGGCAGGTGACGTCTCTAGTTTCTCTGTCAGATACAAAGAAAGTGCTCTGCATCGACCTCAGGAGCTACTTTAGAGGCAAACTCACTCACTAACCCTTCTTTACCGCTTTAACGGCTCACTCACGGCTCCAGTCCCAGTAATAGCTGCTGCTCCCAGCTTCTTGGTGCATACAGAGTTTTGTCCGCTCACAGACTCGTTCCATCCCGCCCCTGCACCATCCTTCGGCTCCCCACGAGGCCGCCCTTCCTCACTACTTTACTCCATTGCATCCTTAGAGCAGTAGTATCAGTGTGGAAGCCAAACCCAGCCCATCATGATCAGACAGCGTAGACTCAGCTATGAGCTCCTCGATGCTCCTCAGAAGAATTCCCCGTGGTAAGTGAGGACCAGATCCTGGTCCGTGCACGTTCAGAGTAGTAGACCCAGCCAGCCCATCGGACCGAACCCCCTCACAGACAGCCTGAGCGTTGGCTACGTGCTTCAGTGCCCTAACCTCGGCACCCAGCTGATCCATCCTCCGTAGCTAACAGCCTACATCCAGACTGGGGTATGTTGCAGGTGGAACGTCCTCCAGAAGATGAGAGATGGACCTAGGAACATTCTCCACACACTTGTTCAGCACCCTCAGACAAAGTGAGATGTTGTCGGAGTCTTTGTGCTGATCCGGTGTATCTGCTGAGCGGTAGCGGGACACAGCTCGAACTGAAGCACTCGAAGCTACCAGCACACGTCCATCCTGGCTCCTGCACAGCTCAGCTGCTAGGTTTTAGTCGAGACCGTTTCAAAACAGGAGCTGCTGCAACTCCTGCCACGCCCGCCATGCTGGTTGGACGACGTTACTAAATAATTAACTAATTAATGCTAGATTCACTAAGAAATCACAACGTCACCATAGAAACACTAGTGTGTGTGTGTGTGTGTGTGTGTGTGTGTGTGTGTGTGTGTGTGTGTGTGTGTGTGTGCGCGCGCATGTGTGTTTTTGTGTGTGTGTGAGTGTTTGTGTGTGTGTGTGTGTGTGTGTGTGTGTGTGTGTGTTTGTGTGTGTGTGTGTGTGTGTGTGTGTGTGTGTGTGTGTGTATGTGTGTGTGTGTGTGTGTGTTTGTGTGTGTGTGTGCGCACGCGCATCTTGCTGTGTGTGTGTCTACTCTGTCAACTCACGGTTGTGGCTAAACAACTCACAGCTGCTCTTGATGAACAGAACATCTATGATAGCTTCCAGTCAGGCTTTCGTAGAGCTCATTCTACTGAAACAGCTCTTCTTAGGGTCTCTAATGACCTTCTGACTCACAGTGATGCAGGGTTCTGGTTCTGGTCCTGCTGGACCTGACTGCAGCCTTTGACACTGTTGACCATCACCTGCTACTGGAGAGGCTGAGAGACTGGGTAGGCCTATCAGGATCTGCTCTGGAGTGGTTCTCCTCTTATCTCTCTGAGCGCTCCTTTTCTGTGGCCGTCTCCAAGTTTAGGTCCTCCACCACCTCTCTTACCCATGGTGTCCCACAAGGTTCTGTGCTGGGGCCTCTGCTCTTCCTCCTCTATTTGCTTCCTCTTCAGCACATCCTGAGCTCCTTCAAAGGAATCTCCTACCATCTTTATGCAGATGACATCCAGCTGTACATCTCCTTTAAGCCCCATGAGATGTCTAAGCTGCAGCTGTTACACACCTGCTTAGACTCTATCAAAACCTGGATGGTGGGAGCTTTCTTCAGCTGAATGAAGATAAGACTGAGATCCTCATCTGTGCCCCAGACAAGCTGGTTCCCAAAGTCAGAGACTCTCTTGGTCAGCTTGCTTCTCACACCAAACCTTCTGTCAGGAATCTTGGCATGACCTTTGACCCAGCTCTCACCCTGGATTCTCATGTCAGTTCTCTTGTTGACTCTTCCTTCTTCCATCTCAGGAACGTTGCTAAGCTGAGTCCCATTCTGTCCCGCTCTGAACTTGAGACAGTTCTCCACACCTTCATCTCCTCACGCTTAGACTACTGTAACTCTCTTTTCACGTGTCTGAGCAGAACCTCCCTGAACCGTCTACAGGTGGTTCAGAACGCCTGTGCTCGGCTTCTGACCAAGTCCTCCAAACACACCCACATCACCCCGCTTCTCCTCCAGCTTCACTGGCTGCCAGTCAACTTCAGGGTTCATTTCAAGATCCTGGTTCTGGTCTATAGGGCCTTACATGGACAAGCACCATCTTACATTGGTGATCTTCTTAGTCCCTACACCCCCAGCAGGTCCCTGAGGTCCAGTGATCAAAGCCTACTGGTTGTGCAGCACCAGGCTAAAGGTCAAAGGTGACAGATCATCTGCTGCTGTGGCCCCCAGACTCTGGACCTCTCTCCCCCTGAGCCTGAGATCAGTGGACTCAGTGGTCTCCTTTAAAAAGCAGCTGAAGACTCACTTGTTCAAGCTGGCTTTTGTATGACCTTCTTCACCTCTCTCTCTTTATTCTGCTCTCCCCACCTATTCCACCTTCCTCAGGATCCACTGGTTTCCCTCTTTCCTGTTCACTCTCTCTCTTTCTTTACATTTTTAATCACAATTGTTTATTCTTGCTCACTTTAAATATATTTTTAATAATTTTATAAATTATTTTTTTATTTTCACATTTTTTGTTTTTGTGAAGCTCCTCGTGATTTTTACCTTGAGAGGCGTTATAGAAATTATGTTTTCTTCTTCTTCTTCTTCTTCTCCATCCCCAGTGAGTCGTGGAGGATGGCTGCTTATACTGGCGTAGAATCCTTACTAAAACCGTACTTAAGCTCATCAAAAAAATATTCTTACACCAAGCAGGTGTGTGATCTATCAAACATGGAGGACGCACAGCTGCACGCAATCTCCGCTTCATAAATCAGACTAACGAGAATGTTTCTCAGCTGCATTTTAGTCACATCCCGCCCTCACCACGCCCACTTACTGCCATAAATAGTCAATGCAAAGTGCCTTGTGGACCTCATGCATATACATAAGCCGGCTGTTGCAGCGCTCCACCAATGACATGGTGACCGTAGATCAAGGCAGATCAAGGAAGCGCTATTTCACACAAGCAGAAGATGAGGTACCTGTGGGTGAGGTGGAGAAATGACAGGAAGTGCTTTTGCAAAACAAATAAGAGAAAATCCACGGAGTGGCACAGCGTTGCTGAAGCCGTCAATGCTGACTTCTTCAGAGAGATCTGTGGCGGATATAAAAAATGGTCCAATCGGGATTCGATCCCCAGACTCCCGGGTGAAAGTCACGCGCGCTAACCAGTCACCCAAACAGAGACTGCCCTGTACAAGTAGCCAGGTCACATGATCAATCGGGTCACAGTGACAGGACACACATTGTCACACACGCATGATGTTCTGTCTCAATCTGTCCCCCTGATGATGTTCTGTATTCTGTATTCTGTGTGTGTGTGTGTGTGCGCGTGTGTGTGTGTGTGTGTGTGTGTGTGTGTGTGTGTGTGTGTGTGTGTGTGTGTGTGTGTGTGTGTGTGTGTGTGTGTACAAGTGATAACGCTGCAGGATTTCATAACTGTATCTTCTCAGCAGCAGCACTGCAGGTGCTCTCCATGTCCATCAGGTGTGTAAGCCAGGTCCTTAGTCAGCTTAAAGCTGCGCACATACTCCGCTACGTTTTCTTTCATGAATCCCAACGTTTGCGTGGAAAGTTGCTTACGCAGTTTTCCGACCCCGTTTAGTGCGTAAGCTAGCTTGATAAATGAGGTGCCTGACCTGTACTGGACTGTGTGAAGGTCTTTGAGATGACTCTGGTCCTGATGTGGAGCTACAGAAATAAAATGGACTGAATTGAACACTAACAACAAAAACAACAACAACAACAACAATAATAACAATAATAATAAAAGATGACTAGCATGGATTGTGACAGGGTGGTGAGATTCATATTACCCCTGGTGGTTTCAGCCGGTCCAGATCCTGGATCCAGAACCTGGTGCTGAGTCTGAACAGCAACGGAAACATTTCACTTGTGAAGTAAAGAAACAAAAGTTTGTTGTCCTGCTTCTTGTTTTTAGGGTGTTTGTTCTGTTTTTCTTCTGGTTCTGCAGGCTAAAGGGGTCCATGATCATCAAAGACCAGAATCCAAATCTGAAACTGAAGCCAGAAGAAGTTCCATAAAGAGACGAGTCAGCTCACCTCCATACACGCCCAAAAGACGCCTCATTGAAACTCAGGTCAGTGACGCCATCTTAATGTTTGCTGCTTCTGATTAAAGCCCGAGTCATGGTTCTCTGTCAGCTCCGCAAGGGACAGACACGCGCGGGTTGACAGAAGCGTTTTGCTCTCATTCTTCTCCGTCTCCTGGAGAGTGTTGCAAAGCAATTCCCCGCCAGGACAGCAGAGGGCGTAGCGCTGTTCTGTGGTATCCTGTCATGTATCGGCCCAAGATGGTGTGTTTATATTGTGTTTTTGTGTATATAAGAGACTTTTAACACGGACATATTTCTCCTCCACCTCTTCATGCGCTCCCCACCTCTAAACCCACGTTTCCTGTCGTTTCCGTCCACAAATAAAACGCTTGCTGTGCATCTTTTCACTCCTCCAGTCACGGGAGAACTAAACGTTCATATTTTAGAGTTTTTTCGCGAGGTATTCTTCAAGCTGCTCCGTGTCTGCCGCTAGTTATCCTCGGCTCTCTTTATGTTTTTGAGGGCGCAATGGCGGCGGTGTACACGACAGCGGCGCCCTGACCAATCACAAGCTTGCGTTGTCCGTCTCGACGGACGGATGTTTAGAAGAGAGAGCTCGACTCCGTCCGTCCTTGCGGGGCTCTCCAGCAGGCTGCAAGTACGGATACTGGCATCTCCGCACTGACGCAGACGCAGAAGCATGACTCAGGCTTAACCCGAGACAACCCAGATGTTGCAGTAATTCAGAGCCAACGTTCCTTCAGACAGCTGTATCTAGTTCTAGCTGGTAGAGGCATTCATCTGCGTCTTCTGGAGGTTCTGCCAAAGAAAGATCAGGCTAGATTGTGCTGAATGTTCTGTAGAAATCCAGAGAACCCCACAAAGCTGCCTGGTAGGTCAGGATGAAACAGGTGTGTGATGGTATCTTCAGCTCCATACGGTGATGAGCAAACTCCAAAAGATCCTGTAAGGTGTTGTTCTGCTCATTCAAGGAGGCAGGCAGCTTTATTTGTACATTTCATTTGCAGACACACTTCAACACGCTTTCCAGGAGCAAAACCATTAGGGCTGTAGCGAAGCCTCGACTACGTCGACGGCTCGATTCTAAAAATTTGTCGACGTCAGATCCGGAAGTCGACGCACCACGCCCACTTGTTGCATCCCCAGGAGTTTGTAAATAGCCTGTTTTTCCTCTAGTTCGCCCTCTTCTCCGTCCTCACTAACATCTCCGCCAAATACCGAAGACCCGGAACAACGTCCGTCCACTACTAGATTATTTTCCTGTTTTGCCCCTTCGTCTCCCGGCAACGGACAACAACTTCCGGGGTCAGATGCGCTGCTCCGTCTCTACTGCAGATGTAGAACATCACCGGGAGCGTTTCTCCCTTCATTAAGGAGCTTCTTTCAGACACGAGGAGAGCTGTTTTGGTGGTAGCAGTCTCTCCTCCGTGCTGGTCTGTTTGCTGCTGGGTGTTTTTGGTTTATTTAAACTTGGTAACTTGAACTTAATGTTGGTAAAGCTACTGTTAGCATCTTCGCTAACAGCTTCTTGCGTTGGGATAAGCTGTTACGTTTTGGTTTAGAGTTAATCTTTTTTGTGGTGTAGATCTCCCTTTGATTACATTTAGAGTGTTGTGGGTTTTCGGTTTAGTGTAAAATATCACCTTGAGTTTGGTTTAACCCGTAAGACCACTCGCCTCACGCACATAAGTGACCAAAACAAAGCAGCATGCAGACACTCCATCTTCTACCACCTCTCAGGCAGCAGCCTGCTCTCCCAAGTTCTACACGTCACCAGAACATAACCAACCAACACAATAAACGCAGTGTTATACAAAATGGAAGGCCTGTAGTGTTTATTCTCTTACAGTAAGAATTTATCAATTTTTTTTTGAGGAATTTATTTGAGATTTTCTGGTTTTTGTTAATTGAGCAATAGAAAAATAATCATTAGATTTATTTTCTAAATAGTCATTAGAATAGTCGACTATTCGATAAAATAATCGTCAGAATAATCGTTTTAAAAATAATCGTTTACCCCCAGCCCTAAAAACCATACAGCATTGGAATAAACAGATCAAATTAAATTGGATGTAAGAATCAGATTTAAAGGGTGAGCAGTTACCATGCAGAAGGTGCAGCATAACAATCATTCATTCAATGTCAGATGAATACATGAAAGTTTTCTATTTTGATTTAGACATTACTAGAGTTGGGGCACATTTGAGTTCAGGAGGACCTTGCCATGTCACTTTTCATCAGTTCTGAAACTTGGCTTGGGTTAGGAGTCGGCCCTGCTAGGGTTAGGGTTCACATCTGGGTAATCTGTGCGTTTTCCGTGCTCAGTCAACCCTAACCCCAGAAAAAAAGTGTAAAGAAAAGGGAGAGAGAAAATAAACAGGAAAGAGGGAAATCAGTGGATCCCAGGAAAGGCAGAATAAGAGCAGAACAAGGAGAAGGAGGTGATGAAGGTCCCACCAAAGCCTGAACAGGTGAGTTTAAAGGAGACCACTGAGTCCACTGATCTCAGGCTCAGGGGGAGAGAGGTCCAGAGTCTGGGGGCCACAGCAGCAGATGATCTGTCACCTTTGACCTTTAGCCTCAGGGACCTGCTGGGGGTGTAGGGACTAAGAAGATCACCAATGTAAGATGGTGCTTGTCCATGTAAGGCCCTATAGACCAGAACCAGGATCTTGAAATGAACCCTGAAGTTGACTGGCAGCCAGTGAAGCTGGAGGAGAAGCGGGGTGATGTGGGTGTGTTTGGAGGACTTGGTCAGAAGCCGAGCACAGGCGTTCTGAACCACCTGTAGACGGTTCAGGGAGGTTCTGCTCAGACACGTGAAAAGAGAGTTACAGTAGTCTAAGCGTGAGGAGATGAAGGTGTGGAGAACTGTCTCAAGTTCAGAGCGGGACAGAATGGGACTCAGCTTAGCAACGTTCCTGAGATGGAAGAAGGAAGAGCCAACAAGAGAACTGACATGAGAATCCAGGGTGAGAGCTGGGTCAAAGGTCACGCCAAGATTCCTGACAGAAGGTCATTAGAGACCCTAAGAAGAGCTGTTTCAGTTGAATGAGCTCTACGAAAACCTGACTGGAAGCTATCATAGATGTTATGTTCATCAAGAGCAGCTGTGAGTTGTTTAGCCACAACCTTTTCCAAGATCTTGGAGATGAACGGAAGTTTAGAGATGGGTCTGAAGCTGCTATGGAGAGAGGGGTCGAGACTCGGTTTTTTAAGAAGCGGGTGGATTACAGCGTTCTTAAAGTAAGCAGGGACCTGACCAGAGACCAGAGAAGCATTAATTATAGAGAGCACGCTGGGACCGATGGACTGAAAAGCACTTTTAAACAAAGATGAGGGTAAGATGTGGAGGGGGCTAAATACATCATACTTTTTTCTAAATATTGGACCCAAATACGTCTATCAGCAGATTCCAGTAAAGCCCAAGTCCTAATCGTCCAAAATTGATTTAAAAGCCGTTTGAAACGTTTGTTCTGCCCTGTCGCACCATACCTCCCACCAGACAAAATGTATCAGGGCCGGTACTGTGGACCAATCACAGCGCTCTATCAGTTTGAAACCCCTCTAGAGAGCTGAGATTGGCCAGCCAGAATGCTGCAGGGGCCTAATCCTAACCCTTTCCTAGTCCACTTTAAACATTCAAATGAACAGCTGGGAAAGGACCACAAGCCCACAACAATCCTTTAGTTCCTGTCTGCAACTCAGCAGCTTCACAGGAAAGTCAACAAACACATTTACAGCCTAAAATAAGCTGCAGGGAGGTCGCAGCTGGCGTGGAATAACAGTCTCCAGTATAATCCTCTCCTCTTCACCTTCTGCTGAATATCGGAAACACATAACCCTAACCCTCCTCTTCACCTTCTGCTGAATATCGGAAACACGTATGATGTTAGCAAAAATGAAATTAATAGCAATAAAACTTAGCTGCACATAAATAAATACACAAGCGTACCACAAACCTCCAGGAGAGACCATACTAACTAGCTAGGTCATCTGGGGCTCCACCCCAGAGGCATCGTATTTACTTTGTTTATTGTTTGTTGGGGGGGGGGGTTACGGTTTGATGATTCATTTTTGTTTCCTGTTTCAGGCTTTAGGCCCCGCCCTCCTCTGTGTGGAACCAACAGACAGGATTTCGTTTATTGAGCCAAACTTCTCACAGCATTACCCAGCTTTCCAAAGCCCAGAGCCCTACTACAACCCCCACAATGCACTGGGAGAGACCCCACCCACCCTCCAGAAACCAGCCAATACCAGACTGTACATGAGCCGACCAGGCTACGAGTTCCAAGGATACTTAACCTCCCCGTCATACCCTGTGACCCCTGACCTCTGTGACCCCAGGTCAGTTCAGAGCGGTTCCTGGCAGTACAAACTAGACCAAAGCAGATCCAGAAACTAGAGAAACTCAGACATACACTCCAGATCTGCCCAGCCCACCAGTTGCTTCAGAACTAGATTCTGATCCGATGTAACGGGGACAGGTCTCATTCCAGGACCTCTTCACTGGGCTCTGCTTGTTGTGTGCTACCTGAACCAGCCCAGACCAGGTCCTAGCTTGAGACCATGTTCTGACATAGATGTTTAAATCAGAGAAGCAGAGATGTTTTACCACCTGATGAACCGTAGCAGCTCACTTCAGCCATGAAAGAATCTGATGAAACAAACTTCTCTCCACACGAACCAACGCTGACTCCTGTTCTGTTTGCAGGGTGGCACCAGTCCTGGGTTCCTCCTCCACCCCATCTTCTTCATCTGCTCCTCTTTCTTCATCCTCTTCCTCACCCTCCTTTGACCCTCAGATGAAGCCCCCTCCAGTCTGGAAGGACCTGCTGAAGACCCCCACCCCTTATGGAGACAACCACCATTATTACAGCACTGAGTACCCCTGCCGCTACCCAAGCAACCCCCCAGGATCTCCTGCAGCTCTGCAGACCATCATCACCACAACAACCAAGGTATTAATCCATTTACTCATACGGTTAGCTCAACAGGATGTCCTGCAGCGTCATGACTAGAATCTAGAATGAGGATGTTGGACCATGCTCCGACCCTCCTCAGACTGCAGAGAGGTTAGGGTTAGGCAGCAGCTGATCGATTTGTAGCCAGACCTCCGTGTTAATAGTAAACAGGCTTTTGTTTGGACTGTACACTGAATTTTGTGTACCTGAAAGAGGAACCTGGTCATCTGCAGCAACAGTAAATATGAGGGTTTTTTGGTCTCCTTGTCCTCTCCAGGTCTCCTACCAGCCCTGTCCTAAGCCTCCTGCAGCCCTGCCTCCCTACCAGCCATGTCCGAAACCTCTGACTGGCCTCCCATCCTATCAGCCTTGTGCTGCTCCGAAGCCCCCGGGCCTCCCTACCTGCTCCTCCCTCCTGGATGATGCCCACTCCTCTACGTACTCCACCGAAGTGAAGGTGATGGAGGAGTCAGGTGGAGTCATCAAGTCTCTGTCGTTTCCTCCTGAACCGTTGCAGACCAAAACAGAGCGAGCAGACAGCTACGACTACCACTACGCCTACCCTAATACGTATCGCTATGACGATTACTGACTCAGTGCTCTGTTACCATGACAACAGCAGCCAATGGCAAAACCATCCATAGAGAGCTGAGGGTCATCCAGGTCGAGCACACATGGACTACTGAGGAGCCGTGGGAGTCACTGAGCGTGTTCAACAAATAAACTACTTTTATGTTTGACCTTTGACCTAGATGAGCTTCAGTCAGGCCACAAGTGATCACATGTAAAAACACCTCAGGTGATCAGTGGCCTGAACAGGTTTTAATGGCGAGGAGAACAGATGAAGGAAACTGGTCCACAGCTAATTTGATCTTATAAAGTTGTCTGCGTGTTGCTGGTCATGTGATGTGCAGGCAAGACCCAGAAGAACCTGCGGAGGTCTGCAACAGTCCAGATGTTCAGAAGAGTCACAGCAGCAGGTGGGCCTCTTGAGAAGGACAACATCTAAGAGCTCGTAGGTGTTGGTGTGTGAGCAGCGGTCTCTGCAGCAGCAGGATAAAAAACATTGTTCAACACATTCACACAAATAAGTTTAGCGAGATGTGTCCATGCTTCACTGGCTGTGTGACCCCGGTCTGGCTCCCAGATGTGCTGACAGATGTTATCAGCCAGCATGACAGCCAGACGTGGCTCACCAGAGGCGCTCTGCTGACATTCAGGGGTCTAATCTGTAAAACAAACACTGCTCTGTTGGTCTGAACTCAACGTTTTGGTCCCAGAACCTCAGATTGAGAAGCTCTAGGCAGATGATCCATCTGTGTTTGGGTCAATCAGGACCATGATCAACCTAGAGGCAGATACTCTGTGATGTGGGATACGTCAGAAGACATGTTAGCTGAAGCCTGGTAGCCAATGTCTCACCTGTAAACCAGGTGAGCCCGTAACCCAGAGCTCTGGAATTCTATCTGATCCTGTCTTCTTATCCTTTCATCTCCCTCCGTTTTCATCCTCTGTTGCTGATCTTCATCACTGCTTTCACACGCAAATCATTTCATCCCTCAGTCTCTTCTTCTTTTGTGCTAAATAAATCATTCAGTGTGATGACATGAGTCCCCCCATCTGTGATGTGGCTCTGCTCTAATGGATGTTTTCAATTTGATGCTACATGGTTGGGAGTCAAGGATGAGGGTGGGGGTGGAGGGTGCTGACAGAAAGGAGGAGGAGCTAAGGGCCTGGTTCTTACAGAGACCTGTGACCTGGACCAGGACCTGCTGAGTGTTCTATGGGAGGAGACCTTTATGATGTCACAAAGACACTTTTGCTCTTCAGATCTTCTGGTGTTTTTCCCCGTGAGACGTTCAGGTTCCAGCTGCTCCTCTCTAGTTTCGCTGTTCAGATCATGTGAAGCATGACGAAAATACATTCTGTAACGTTTATTTCTATAGCAGTATAAGTGATGAATGACCCGCACTTGTATAGCGCCTTTCAGAGTCAGAGGACTCCGAAGCGCTTTACACTACAGTGCATCATTCATCCATTCACACACACACTCACACACTGGTGGGGATGAGCTACAGTGTAGCCACAACAATCCCTAACCCTGGGGTGCACTGACAGAGGCGAGCAGCACAGGCACCACCGGTCCCTCCGACCACCACCAGCAGGTGAAGAGGGTTAAGTGTCTTGCCCAAGGACACAACAGCAGATTTCTCTGTCTGGAGCTGGGATCGAACCTGCAACCTTCCAATTACTGGACAACTCGTTTTACCTCTTGAGCTGCTGCTGCCTGTGTTAAAAGAGGAGGAGGATGTCTTATTATCGATACGCTTCACTGCTGCCACCTCTGCTCTCTGCTCCCCAGCAGACGCATTCGGCGTTTCTCAAGGTTCCTTCCAAGGACACTGTCCTTCCTAGGTCAAAGAAAATGGTTCAATGGAACCCACTTACAGCTTCTGCGGCAGTCACATCACACGATACGTGAGGTAATCTTTTATACATTTCAATATAAAAATACTATATAATTATAAATAAAAGTGTCTAAAGAGCCATTTTAATCATGTATATGTTGGTTACATTAAAGAGCAAGTCACCCCCTACCAGAGTCTAACTCCACTCCCACTTCATGTTTGAAAAATGCAACAAATGCTGTTGCCTGGCAGACCGAGAGGGCGGAGCCGCTAACAAATACACACACACACAGGCTCACGACAGCATTGTGACATCATAATGTACCAGTTTACATCATACCATACCTCTTAGCCAATAGCGGTGGCAGATTTAAATTAGAATACAGTGCAGAGTTTTTACCTGACAACGGCACAACACTGCCAGTTTTAGGCAGAATATTTAAATTTGAACTAAGATGCACTGAAGTGCCAAATTATTGACGACACGTGTCTGCAGCACGATTAGACACTCGTTTATTTAGTTTATCAGCAAAAAAAGTTTATTTGGGTGTGACTTGCTCTTTGTTAGGCACTGAAGCTGCAGCAACTAACCAACCATAGCTAACTGCTTTGGATCTAAAACATTTTAGGTATCAACCCAATAGTTACAATTTGTTCACTTACATTTAAACTTGAAATTTGCCGCCGAAGTAGCTGCTGGCTCCTGATCCAGTATCCTTTTGAAAATACTGCGCTGTGTTCTGGGACATTTTTGACCAAGGCCAGGCAACAAGGCACTTCCTGTGTATCCTTGGTTAGCTAGCTAAAAGGCTAACAAACGGAGAACAGCTTCGCTAGCATAGGAACATTAGAACACACCTTGGTGGTTCCTAATGAAGTGTCTCCTGGGCAACTAAGGCAGGACCAAGGCATCAAGGCAAGGTTCCTTGACAGTGAGAAACACCCATACTCTCTAAATGCACTAAAGACGCATCACTGCGTTCCACTCATACAGCATCATCAGCTCCCATCAGCTCAGACAAGAGGAGAGGCTGCGAACCGCTCCAGCGAAAGCTGAAGATCACGTCCTAATGAAGCCTACAGGACCACATCATCAGCAAAAAGCAGAGACCTGGTCCTCAGGCCACCAAAACAGATCCCCTCAACACCTTGGCTGTGCCCAGAAATCCTGTCCATAAAGGTTATGAACAGAATCGGTGACAAAGGGCAGCCTTGGCGGAGTCCAACTCTCACTGGGAATGAGCTCAACTTACTGCCGTCAATGTGGATCAAGCTCTGACACCGGTCATACAGGGTCCTAACAGCCTGTATCAGAGGGCCTGGCACCCCATACTCCCATAGTAACCCTGACAGGGCCCCCCGGGGGACGTGGTTGAACACCATCTCCAAATCCACAAAACACATGTAGATTGGTTGGGCAAACTCCAACGCACCCTTCAGGATCCCTTAAGGGTGTAGAGCTGGTCCAGTGTTCCACAGCCAGGACGAAAGCCACATTGCTCTTGAATCCAAGGTTTGACAATCCGATGGACCCTCCTCTTCAGAACCCCGGAATAGACCTTACCAGGAAGGCTCAGGCGTGTGATACCCCTGTAGTTGGACCATGTGGTACCCCTTTTAAAATAGGGGGACCACCACCCCAGACTGACAATCCAGTGGAACTATCCCCGTTGTCCACGCAATATTGCAGAGCCGCGTCAACCAACACAGCCCTACAACATCCAGAGCCTTAAGGAACGCCGGACTTATCTCACCTACACCTGGGGCCTTGCCGATGAAATTCATCCCCGTGGGGCACGGTGAACTAAAGCTGTGGCTGCGCTCTGGACTAGTTGGTGGTTTAACCCCTACCCTTGGACAGCTGTGACTATAATATAGCTCATCACCAGGGCGTGAATGTGTGTAAATGGGTTAATGACTGATGCTGTTGTAAAGTGCATTTAGGGGGTTCCAGGACTCTAGAACGCGCTGTATCAAATAAAGACTATTTACCATGATCTGACCGGGATTTGAACTCTGATATCCCTGTCCCAGGGCAGACACTCTACCAGTAGGCCACTGAGAAGGTAACATATTTAAAGAAAAATGAAAAACTCAATCAGTTTTTAATTTTCTGATACAAAGACTAATGACAAACATTTCCAATGAATAGTTCTCAGTAAACCATAACCAGTGTCCAGATGCAGCATCATGATTAGTACCTTCGTCAGTAACCTGCTATATTCAGTCCTGTACATGTCTGCTGCCCCCTGGTGGAGGATCTGCAGGTGGAGAGGGCCCATTTAATTTTTTGAAATTCAAATTGTCAGAATATTAAGTAATAAAGTTTTACTGACTGCTATATTAACAAAAATAACTGAAAATGTTTGCAGTCCCCTTGATGAGATAACAAATAAACTAGGTTCAAAGGTTTCTTGATACCAAGCTGGAGATAGAAGGACTTTTGATAATGGAAGGATGGGGGAGGATGGAAGGAGACCCCTATAAACACACTGCTGTTGAGAAAACTCAACTTCAAAGCCAAAAAGGAAACTTATTGACAAAGAGATCAAGGACACATTTAAAAATACCAGCATGAACTAAAGCTCTGCAGGATTGAAGTGATACCAACCCCAGAAAGGTAATTAGACCATGGTAGCCCTTGTGACCATAGTGAATCAGAGTGGGCCATTGGTATCCTCTTGGTCATGGTTGGTAATGATGGGTGATGTTGGTCTATGGCAGTGACTCTCAACCCCCTCCAAAAAAGAAAATTAATATAACTTTATATAAAGAGGCAACCTGTTGAATTTTCTGAGCATTGCCACCACCTAGTGACTGCAGACCCATTTTGCATTCACTAAACATAATGGATTGTCCTGCGTCTCACACACCCCGCACCCACACACACCCTGATGCCCCACCACTTGAGAAGCACTGATCTAGGGGTTCATGGTAGATGTCTTGTAATTATATTGCTCATTCTTGAGTCCTAGAACCCCTCAAGACACTTTACAACACAACAGCACTTCACTAATGCACACACATTCATATGCTGGCAGTGGTGAGCCCCAATGTAGCTCCCAATGTTGAGTCAGGTTTGTCATATTGGGTCATGGTAAGCCATGTTGGGTATATACCATACCATACCACACCACACAATATCACACAATACCACACCACACCACACCACACCATACCATACCATACCATACCATACCACACAACACAATATCACACAATACCATAACATACCATACCACACCACACAATATCACACAATACCACACCACACCACACCACACCACACCACACCACACCATACCATACCATACCATACCATACCACACCACACAATATCACACAATACCACACCACACCACACCACACCACACCACACCACACCATACCATACCATACCATACCATACCACACCACACAATATCACACAATACCACACCACACCACACCA